CCCCCCCCCCCCCCCCCCATACACACACATGGAGCGCACATAGAAAGTCAACTGTCAGACACAATGAAATCTTATTGCACTATAATGGTCAAATACAAACACAATTATGTCAAAATGAAACATTGTGTGCAGTGATGACTATGCAGTGTTTTAGTTTTACCTTTGATTACATTTCTGTAGTATTTCTTATTATGTTACAATCAGTTTTGTAATTGAATCGTGATCACAAGAATTGATCTGAATTGAATTGTTAGGTACCAAAAGATTCCAACCCCTAATCTTTAATATTATAAATATATAAATAATATAATCATGCTAGAGAATGTTTGGATTTCTAATAAGGATACAACATATTTTGTAATAACCACTCACAAAAAAAAACAATATATCTGATATGTGATATTTATTCCATTTACTTAATAGAAATTGCATGTATTTCCATCCAAATGTATTTCTTTAAAAAAAAAATGGCACAGTTAATTTAACATGTTAAAATGCATGTATGTATATATTGTGTTTAATACAAAAAATGAATACTAATTTAACAAAAACACTTCACATTGTGACAGATCTGAGGATTGTTCTTCTGGGTAAAACTGGATCAGGAAAAAGCGCAGCAGGAAACACCATCCTGAACAGAGACGCGTTTACAGTGAAAAACTCTCTGGTGTCAGCTTCAATGACCTGTGAGAAACAAGAAGTAATTGTTGATGGACGAAATATAGCAGTTACTGACTGTCCTGGCCTGTCTGACACTTCGATCGATAATAAAAAACTGCAGATTTTAATAGAGCAGTGTATCTATCTGTCTGCTCCTGGTCCTCATGTGTTCCTGCTGGTTCTGAGACTGGGTGTGAAATTCACAGAGGAGGAGAAAAATGCAGTGAAATGGATTCAGAAGAACTTTGGAGAAGATGCTGTGAAGTACACTATTGTTCTGTTCACTCACGCTGATACACTGAAGGGGAAACCTGTAGAGCTCTACATCAGCAAAAGCAAAGATCTACAGCAGCTAATTCAGACATGCTATGGGAGATATCATTCATTCAACAATGAACACAGAGATGATCGAGATCAGGTCACAGAACTGCTGAAAATAATAGAAAAAATGGTTCATTTTAATGGAATGAAGCCCTACACTAATGCCATGTATAAAGCAGCCCAAGAGAAGATTAGGAAGGAGCAGATGCTAACAGATGTTGGGAAGAGAGGACTAGCAGCAGCAGGAGAAGTTGCAGCAGGAGTTGTAGCTGCAGGGGCCAAAGGAGCTGCAGCAGCTTTTTCTGCAGTGGAAACAACAGCAGAAGCAGCAGCAGAAGCAGCAAAGAAGTATTTAGATGACTAGAAACTTTACAGTATCAGCACTCTAGAATAGTTTTATAAGGCTCGTTAGCTATTTGGGATGGGGTTGTATCACTGATATACATGCATACGGGCTATTGAATGGGAAATTAATTACAGTTTAATTATTTCCTGTCAACCAATCAAAAGTATTTAAATTAATTGTAAAACAAGTGCAAAATTTGATTGTGCAGAGGTGGGGGACTTTAGTTACATTACTTATCTTGCTTGACTAAATGAAGAAAATTACTTGATGTTGGCTTGAACTTGAACTACATGAATCAACAATGACTTTATAATAATTGTAATTTTTTTTTTTTTAAATCATTGTGACATCAATTAATAAATTGACCACTGATCAGAGTCTTCTTTATTGCATGACGATGCACAAGCGCAGTAAATTATCTTAGGGTTGTATGTATTTAGCTCTTTTCATATTATCTGTAATGTCATATTAAACGAATGTCTAAAAAAAATACCTTTCAAAAAGTTTGTTCTTTATTCTATTGTTTTTAAATTTTTTATTCTGTAATTAAATAAATCTTAAGAACATCAACATGCATTTGCATGTTTCATATGACAAATTAAAATATTAAAAGTTCCCAAATGAACAACTTCAGACTGGAACTGTGGAACATTTTAAATACTTGACTGCTAAAACGGGGATTAATGTATTTGGCAGATACTTTTATCTAATGCATGTATTGTATACAGTTCATCAGTTCAGTCATTCCTTGCCTAGCCTTGCCTTTTCAAATAAGTGCAGTTAGCCTGAGCCTTCTCAGTCAGTCTTTTCCATTCATTTGTCATTTAGGCCTATCCTTAAAAATGAAAGAGAAAGAGAGAGCAGTGCATATAAAAGCAGTCATTGAAATTACATTTGGAGGAATGGTGGAGTAATAGCAGCATCATTCTTTTGCGACTATTTTCAAACATTATTTACAAGACTGACATTATTTACTCAAAGTCTGCTTTACTGTCAATACTGCCACATGTACAGCACATACAGATAAATTGTTACATTAGTGTATTTTTATATCCTTTGTTTTTAAGTTGGTGATTATTTTTGCGAATGAGTTGAATGCCATTCAACCACATTAAATAACAAGATGCTGAGGTGAAATGTGAATTCATAAGCCTTTTTTTTATTTATTTCCTTTATATTTCATTTTACAAATATAATCTGATGTGTGTGTGTGTAAATATATACAGTATATATATATATATATATATAAGATTTTTTAATACATATATATTATATTGTGTATTTCCATGCATCACTCTTAAACACTCCCTGACACGGTAACATAAGCAACACACCCAGACAAATACTGAAACTAACTGATTAACAATAATTGCTGTGTGTGTTAAATTTGTCTGTTTGCTATTATTTTTGCTGGACGATGAGGATAGAGAAAACAATGTTTGTAAGCAATGGTTCACTGGAAGTGATGCAAATGTTCTTTTGTCCTGTTACTATTCTGCACACTCTCAGAATTTGAGCTGGCTGTGTCTTAAAGAAGGGCACATATTTCTGTTTAATAGTCACTTTATTCCATAGGATTCAAAATTTCAAAATAATTTCATTGTAATTGAGATGTATTAATAACGTTGCACCTAACAGGCTCTAATCACCCCATTATCTGGCTTCCTGTAACAGTTTTTACTTTCTTGTCTGTAACTGTGTTTTGTGTGCTATTTATCTAAAATATTTTTTCCACATTTATCAGCTATAAATTAAAGTGGTTTTAAAATCTACAACTTATTCCTAAACTGTAAAAGTTAATGCAAAGTTCAAAGAGGGCTGTTACCGACCTGCATTGGTTGTATTCAATTGTGTGGGTTGTAACAATAATAGAAATGGACAAAAGTTTACATGCATTTATTTTGTTAATTAAATTAATCTTCTATATTCAAAACAGAATACAATTCAAAAAACAAACAAACAAATACATAAAATGTAGGCTATAGGAATTATAGGGGGGGGAAAAACGTTAACAAATAATATGATTTTCATTTTACTTTTTCCATCTCTTCACTGCTACTACTGCTATCACTCCTATCCCACAAACAGTTGCTGCTATAATAATTACAGTTTTCCAGTTACACTTTCTCTGGGCCTCATTAAACATCTCATCAGTGTAGTGCCTTCCTTCATTTCTAATCACCAATTCATCCATCTTATCCACAAGCTCATTTACTTGAGCTTGATTATTTCTGTCCTCATTGTTGAATGGATGATATCTGCCACCACAGGTCATAACAAATTGTCGTAGATCTTGACTCTCCTCTATGTGCTCTTTCAGGGGTTTATGCAGTGAGTCTGCATGAGTGAACACAATGATGGTGTGACGTGCTGAATTTTCTCCAAAGTTCTCCTGAATCCATTTCACTGTGTTCTTCACTTCCTCTGTCAGTCTCACGTCCACTCTGATGACCAGCAGGAACACATGAGGACCAGGAGTAGACATTCTCATACACTTTTTTATTTCAGCCTTCACTTCATTTTCATTTGCTGATGTATCCTGCAGTCCTGGAGTGTCGATTATTGAGATGGTCCTGTTACCTTTTCTTGTCATTTTTCTCTCAGACTGTTGAGTAACTGACTCTGGACAATTGTCCTCTTCAAACTGATCTCTGCCCAGGATTGTGTTTCCAGTTGCACTCTTTCCAGCTCCAGTCATCCCCAACATAACAATCCTTAGATTTACTAAAGTTGGAGAGACATTCAAACAGTGCAACTGAGTTTAACGTCATGCCATCTTTGACATCATGACAAAGTGACACACCAAATCTTTTTAAGTTACGGCAGAGAGTAAGATTTTAAACAAACGACAACGTAAATTTCAGTCACTCACTCATACAAATCTCTTTGGTTCAGAAAACTTAGAAAACAGTGCATACATTCATTTGGTTCTTTTTTGTCCTTTAAGTTTTAGGATGAAAAGTTGATGCAGTAATACATTTTTGTTTTTATTTATTTAAGAAAGTAATCAGTTGTGTGATTTTCACCTGCCAATATGATAAAAGTGGTGAAAAGTCCCATAGACGTCAACTGAAGCACATAGACTCTGACACAGACAAGTAGACAACCTCCTAGAACAACCTTATGACTGGTATTATTATTTCATTATCAAGAATTTCTTTCTTTTATATATTTTTTCCACATGCTTACACGTTATAATTTATAAAATGTATTAATTTTTCTGTTCCCAGATTATGCAAAAAAGTGCCTTCTTGCCTCTCTACATTTTACCTCTAAAGGAGAAACACAAGCACGTTTTTTTTTTCAAAGAGTACTGTAGGTATTGACACTTTTACAGTACATCTTTCCAAAAGCTAATTGTATTCTGTAGCTAAGGTTGTACCATGTCTTTAACGTCTATTTTTCCCTAACTCTGTGTCTTTTTATTTTATTTATGTCTCTCAATTATCTGCTTTATCTTTCATATTCTCAATTTTTCTCTAAGATTTGCTAGAGCTGAATAGCAGTTTGGCTCAACTTATGTTGCTTTTTGATGTGTATTAAAAATATTTACTACATCCCTTTATAACTAACATATCATGGCCCTCATGATTTAAGCAATCCAGCAGCATGTTCTCAGAAAGAAATACGGTCTCTTAATTTTGTTGTTAGGCTATCATACTTTGTTTGAATGTAGATAATAGCATTCATTTTCTTTTTGAATAATTTAATCAAATCTTATGTAGGTGAATTTCACTGACCTGTAATTGGTGGTGCCATTTTCCTTGAAATCTTCTTTTTCTGTTTAAGAAGCTCAGTGTCAATGCTCTGTTTTTCTCTAACTTGATCTTCATCTGGATGAATGACAAACGAAAGGACTGACAGAATGAGAGCATTTAGGTTAACTCCCCTTATTTGAATATATGGTCACATGCCTACATCTGCAAATCAGTGCCAATTTAACTTTTCATATATTCTCATTATTTATAGTATTTTCTTAAATAATAATTAAAAATATCTATGTGTCACTCTAAAGGGAATATTTAAATGTATGCAGACATTTTACGTCTAACTTGTTTAATATGTCAGCACATTTAAAAGTTTCATTTGGTAGATACATCTTTTGTAGAGGATTTGTAAGGAAAAAGCAAATGACAATACAGCAGGTAGCAGTAGTAATGCTTTAAACTTGAGCATATTAAACTTTAGCAGTCTGCTGTGAATTATAAGTTGTTTTGATTTAAAAAAATTGCTTATATACATGCAGTCATTTTGTGTGTGTTTTTGGATCTTATTTCCAGAATATAGAAAAAGCTATAATGCTTTTTTTCTCTATCGTGCAATTATATTGCAGCCTAATAGCTGTCAAACATCCCCACCTAGTGTTCATGACAAATATCACCACCTACAGATTTATTTACCCGATTACAAGAAAATATGTTTCAGCAAAATCAATAAAAACCATCACAGGGCTATAAGGGACAAATTTAACAGGCGACAGGCTTGAAAACATTGGCAAACCAGCACAGAGAAATCACTATGCCCCCTCACCTCTGGTGCCGTCTCCATAGTGGGCGCCCTGATTTTAGTCGGCGAGGCAAGGTACTGCCCTGGGAAGGTCTCCCAGGCTGTTAAATACACAGATTAAAAGCGAAATGTTTTAATTTCGGTTCGTTCTTAGCAAAAAAAAAAAAAAGTCAAACTGCTAACACTTTGCACTTTGCAGTTTCGAATTATGCCTTTACTGTAAGACCAGAAATGACGGAGTAGTGTATTTGATGTTTCAGGATGTTACTGGAACGCGCGTGAACTACAACGCCTTTTTCAGTGGTGTAGTGGTGCCTGTAGAAGTGGGTATACTCTTAATTTATGCCCCCATTTTTTTTGAACGGCCTGTGTTATAAACAGTGACATAAGACTAGTCTTGCATATTTAGTTCACCCCAAAATGGGCCAGTAGTATTTGCACATTTTCACTTACTGTAACTTCTGCTACTTGACTTCACGGAGTAAGGATCATTAGTAATATTAGCCACAAAAGAGGTGCAGATTTCATATAACATCTGTTTTGAACTTATGCTACTGTTTGAAGGCATTCGTTTACTGGATACTTGAACTGAAAAGTTCACCGGTTTAAAAAAAAATCTGATTGCAAAAACTTGCTTCTTTTCATTTTTAAGGTATTGTTTTCGTTATAATGTACAGATTCAAATTAGGAGTCAATAATTAAATTTCTCCGCGCGCCTCCCTGACATGCACTCAAGCCCCAGACCGACTCCGCTTGCGTTCACGTGATTTGTCGAGATGAGAGGCGCGCGCTATCATCAATCACATTTAAAGAGAAGCCGGCGCATCCTGACCGCATCACTGTCTTTACTGGGTATGTTTAGGGAATATTTGCGTTTATTCACATGCGATTTGATTAGCTAATCATGGTGGACTGTCATGATTTTGCCTAGTGCAGGACACTACTGAATGATGCGCATCAGAGGGGATTTAGAAGTGGGTCCACCCTCCACTGGCCTATTTTACCTAATAAGGCTAATAGTTTAGCTTCAGCTACATCACGAATATGGACACATTTGCATTTGTGCCTGAGAGAAGTAAGCCCAACTTTACCTTACGTTTCTTTATAAATTAATTTGTTTTGGCATGTTTATTGCTAAGCATATATTATTATATACTGCAATTATATTTATCCATTAGAATTATATATTTAAAAATTCTTATTCTGTTCTGATACGGTTAAATTTAAAGGATTTGTTGTAAAGTGAGGGGAACTAAATTATCCTATAGTGTTTATAATGTTGGTACATTACAACATTATTAGGCCTGCCGTTATTATTTCTGAAAATGCAATTTATACGAGACGTATCTTTTTTTTATTTTGAAGCTGCCTCCGTTAGCGGTGCAGGCCGTATCGCAAATTAATTAATTTTCAGGTGAAGTCGGTAAAAGCAGGTTTCATGGCTAAAGTTTGTTAAATGACGTTATGACATAAACGGATGTTGATGCCATTTTGTAACCATGAAGCAAACAAGGCGTTTTTCCAAAGTTTATCATCCACTCTGAAATATCTGAAAGTGTTACATTCGCCTTACTGTGCATGCATAAATCCACACTGAGATGATACAGAAAGAACAGACATAATAAGTTTCACGCAATTCTTCTGGCAGGATCAATTCATTTATGGAAATATTCACCATTCACTGACGCGCCCATGGCGCGCTCACTCAAAATGGATCTAAAACGCAACTGCCCTCGTGTTTTGCCACAGGACATCAATCGTGAGTACATTTTCTGTCGTCTTTTTAGGACTGTAATATCAAGAGTGTGCAAAGTAAATATCTTTATCAACAGTGTGGAAGTGAATAGCACATAACTGCACGATTAACGTTACCGGTACGTCTATTGGTAAGCCTCTGTTTCCACAGTCCATACTACAACGTGAAAACAGCATTTTCAAATGTATCCGCTCTGGAGAGCATTTCAAAAGCTCTTTTTTCAAATCTCTGTTTTCCTGGACTCCTTGTCTTAGTGTGAATGGAAGGCCAAAACGCGAGGAAAAGATGCGTTTTCAACGGAAACATATTAATGTGGACAAGGTTTGAGGAGTTGCTAAATCTAGCAACAAATTGCTAAGTCGGCAAAACTGCAGGTTACCCAGTCATTTCAGCTTGTCCCTCTAAATGTCACTAACCATTCCACTTTCCCGCAGCCTACAGCTACAGCAGCCGAAGCAAGCACAAAGCTGCTTCCGCTTGCAACACAGTCCTGTGACTTCCAACCCCCTTTTTTCCTTTCCGTGGCCTCCAGCTCCCGTAGCAGATGCTAGTGTGAGGCTGCCTTCACTAGCAGTGCAGGCTACACAGGCTCTTCAGGACGCCACACACCCCACCCCCTTCCCCTGGCCTACAGCTACAGCAGCTGAAGCAAACGTGAGGCTGCTTCCATTTGTAACACAAGCCCACTTCTCTTTCGCTCCCTCATGCTACTAATAACCATTTTTCTGTTCAGTGGCCTCCAGCTCCCATAGCAGACACTAGCATGAGGCTGCCTCCACTAGCGGCACAGGCTACACAGCCTCTTCAGGATGTCACGAACATCGCTTTCTTCCTGTGACCTAGAGACTGACCCGCCTGCAACACAGGCCCTCACATCTCAGTCTTTTCCTCCCATTACTATTAGCCCTTTTTTCTTTCAGTGACCTCCAGCTCCCATAGCAAACAAAAAATTTCCAACATGTTATCAGAGGCTATCTGCTGGATTCTCTCCAATAATTATGCAATCCCTTACCTCATCCACCTTTTAGACAATTTTTCATTCATCTCGCCTCCCGGCTCCATCCCAGCCACGCATCTAGAGTTATATAGAGTTATACCCTCTAGTCGCCACAGCGGCCCTGTAGGGGAAATATTGCTCCACCACCAGCATCGTAGCACATTGCGATAACGAAGCGGCTGTGCATTGCATCAATAAAGGCCATTCCCCTGCATTAATGCCTTTTCTAAGACGGCTCATTTGGACTTCAGCATTCGACCAATTCATTTTAAATGCAATCCCGGACCCCAAAAAATCAAATAGCTGACATTCTCTCCTGTTCTGCTTTCCAGGAATTCAGGCAGCTGGCGCCGATATTCCCGTAAAGCCACCCGCAGGAAAAAAAAAAAAAAAAAAACCTTGTAGATGCCTCCCTCAGTTCTATTATCCAGGCCGTCTCCCCCAGGACCCTCCAATC